TTTTAAGTGAATGAAAACAGAAATTTGAGGTACAACGTTTGATGGTCGCCTACCGCATCACTGTTCGCGGACTGATCCCCACAAGTCTGCGGATGAATACGGTGTACAATTTAGGGGTCAGCATTGGAGATGCCCTTACATTTTTTTTAATTAGGCACTACATTCTTTTAAGACAAATCTAACAATAATTCATGTGGTTACATATACAGTTTCACTCGTGCATAGAAATTTGAGTGTATTCCCACATGACTCACATTTAGTGAAAAACAATTAAGTTTTCTTTACTTCATTTAGGATGACGCAAATCTTTGTATGCTCTAGATTTTGGACTTGCTACTGATCATGACTATAGAATTATAGCATATCTTTATATCGTTTGTGACATAGTCAGTCATGGTTGTGTAAAACTCACCAATGTCCTTAGCCTTGTGGATCATAATGAGACCACCCTTGTAACATGAGTTGTGAGCATCATGATATTGAATGTGAGAGGGCTGCACGGTGGGTGAGCAAAGGCCCCGCAATCATGTTTATATTCTAACTACATGCATTAAATGGGATGATATATTATAGGGTGATGGCATTAGAAGATAGGAACTAGTGAAGGCTACTAGCTAGGATTTGGGATGCATTAGCATGGTGATGGAGAAAAAGCTGTTGAGACTGCAGAGATTATACATGGTTTGGTACGCTTGGGACATTGTTCCGTTGAATGATTTGGCTTATGATTTTCAGAGGGTGCTTGGATACGTTTTAGTCCCATGACTAAAAGTAGTGGGGACTAAAACTTCCTAGCCTCACCCATGCTTGGATCCAAATACTAAGGAGATTAAAATCAAGTTAATGAGCATTTATTATCCTCCAAACCCTCCAATCCAGAACTCGCCTGTGTTAAAGGAGAGGAGTTAAATAAGGAGAGAGAGGACTAATCCATATTTTAGTAGGGGAACCCCTGACTAATTTTTTTAGTTTGAACACTAGTTTTAGCCCCTCTTTAGTCAGGGGTGCTTGAAACTTTAGCCTTTTAAAGAGACTATTTTTAGTCATACTAAAATAAGTCCCTTGGATCCGAGCACTAGTAGAAAACGGAGCTTTAAAACCGATTTGTAAGGGCCTTTAGTGCCGGTTATGGAACCGGCACTAAAGTGTGGGCACTAAAGGCCCCCCCCCTTTAGTACCGGTTCGGCACGAACCGGCGCTAAAGTGCCACCACGTGGCGTGAGCTCGCGCCCTAGTATGGGGGACCTTTAGTGTGGGCACTAAAGCCCCCCCCCCCTTAGTACCGTTTTTTTTGATTTTTTTTTGAAAATTTTGAAAAAAAGTTTGATTTTTTTTTTCTATTTTTAATTTTTTTGAATTATTTGATGATTTAGTCTCTAATCACCTCTCTTAACTGCTCAAGTGTGGATCACGCTTAATTTTCGAGTTCTATTCTCCTTCGTTTCCGAGTCTGCACTTGTTGTTTTCCTGACAATAGTAAGATGTCAATCCTATTAACCCTCAAGAGTTTAGCTTGAGCATGAAGTCACACATTTCACCGTTTGAGTTTGAAACTATTATTCTAAAAAACAGTAATTATTTAGTAACGCTAATATTTCTTGAATAAGTTTGACCATAGTTTGACCATAGTTTGACCAAAATTCAAAAAATTGAAATAATTATTTAGTAACACTAATATTCTTGAATAATTATGTAGTAACATTAATACTTCTTGAATAAGTAGTTTGACCAAATTTAACCAAATTTTTTTAAAAAAACTGAAATTTGACCATATCTTTTTTTTCCTTTTCGAATTTGAAGATTCTAAAAAATTCCAAACAGGCCATAGGCTGTCTCCATCGGATGCGGATTTTCGTGCTGAATTTTTTGATATATTATACGTTTTTTTTCCGACATCGTATGCAAAAGTTATAGCTGTTTTACATTTTCCTACACTTTTTGCAAAACATGTCCAAATTTAAGTTTTCAAATTTTCCTAACTAGTAGATATAGTAATATAACTACCTCTCGAAGGATTTTATTTTTT